TTTGATTTGAACAGTGTTTATTAATATGTTCACTAAATCCTACCTATGCACACTCTTTCCCTATTTTCTTTTATTTGATTTAATCCACATTTGTATGTATTTTCCACCCTTTGGAAAACAGCATTTAACTAAATACTGAATACAGCATTAATCCAATTAAAGCTCCACACTTTATAGAGACTTAAAACTTTGCCATTATGTTTAAATCTAAGAACTTTTCTAGAGGGCAATCTGGCAACTTTCCTATTTGTCATGTACATAAGCCTTTAGTCATAGTAGTTCAACTTCAAGTAACTTATCCTACCTAAGAAAATTATTGAAAAGTATGCACAAATATAAATGCACAGAAATTCAACACACCATTATTTATAATAGCAAAAAATTATTGCAAACAATATAAATGTCTAACAATAGACTAATACATGATTACCATGGGCAGTTATTGAAAGTGGAATTACAGATCCATGTTGACATTAACAAAATAATCTTTAGATCAATATAGAATATAGGTCTATATCAAGAAGAACAGACATTATGTTTCAAGCAGACTACAAAAAAATCATATGTAGTTTGATGATACATTTGTAAATAGATTAATAATATGAACAGATTTAAATATATATATGTATATATATATATAAATTCTGAAAGTCAATCCTTTCAAATGTTACTTATATTTATTGAATTCTGCATGGTGGCATTTGAGTAATTTTCTCTTTCTACTTTACTTACTTTCATTAATAGAATTTTTTCACAATTAACAATAAAAATGAAATTCTAAGTTTATTTATGATTAAAAAATTATTTTCCATAAGCAATGAAATAATACTTCTTTAATTGGAAAAACCTAATAAATCAATTTTCAATTTGTAAATAAAGAAGATTCCTGTTCATTATCATTTAAGCCTAACATGTACCACTGTTTCTTCTTCCCTTAAATCTCAGTGCAGATTACATACAGATAAGTGGTTTATAACTATGATTTAGATAATTATGATTTCTACCATCCAACTTTAAAATTTTTATATCTAGGTTTAAGGCTTCTTATCACCTGTGAAATGGCTGATTTTATACTGAACCCAATTGCTGGAAGCTTTACAGTGAATGTTTAGTTTCTCAAGCAGAAGTTTAACCACTGCTAAAGTTCTGTGGTACATAGAGACCCTATACCTACCATGCTAGTTAATCTTTAGAACCACTCTCTGCTATAAGTACTGCTAATCTTATTTTACAGATGAGAGAACAGTCTATGTTCACCAAGCTAATAAACTCCAAAACTGGGACTTGGACCCAGGATTTCTTACCTGGAGACTGTTCTTTGCTGGCCTGACCATGGCATTCCCTTATCAGTATCATTCACCTCTTCTCTAGTTTAAAAGTCTTACCTGGCAAGTCTTAACCACACAGAGGATTTTACTTAATTCTCTGCCGCTGCATTTCTGTTGGGATAGATTACCTTATCCATCAATGTCTAAACTCTCATGGCGCTAGCACCATTTCAGCTCCTGTGAAAGAGACATACTACTTCCCCTACCAGTCTCTGCAATGAGATAGTAATAAATTGTGAGCTAGGCACACTGAATTGCTCTTGCTGCCTAAATGTAATGTTTCTCCATCAGTCATGTAAAAGAAGCACACCCTTTATTAAAATAAGAATTTACCAACCTCAGGCATCTGTCTGGAAATACCCTATTCACACACCTCAAGGCAATAAAGTTGACACAGAATCTGAAATGATTACTGCAATTGCAATGAGTTGAAACAGGTTTTTTTTTCAATTACAAATAGTGAAAATATCAGATAACTTTGGCAAGATAGGGCAAGATTAATTTTTTTAGTCAAAATTTTCAAACTTTAGTATATGTGTTTCTATAGCATGCTGGCAAATCCTTAAAAATTAAGGAAGTTTAAAAGATGTTTATCCAGTTATAATGCATCATCTAATAAATGAAAAGGACAGGGCATCACATATATAGGATAGAGCACTCTTCCTGCCTGAGACCGACTAGGGACAAACCTGACTTATATCTAAAGCAGGGGGATTATAAACGAGGGCATGAAAGCAGAGGAATCAAAGTGGTATAGAAATCCAGATGCTGTCAACAGTGACCTTCTGATTTGTATTTTATATGACAAACCTGCAGTAAACTTATACTTGCCTATGATGGAGTAAAAAACTGTAAGACCTTGAATAGGAACATCTGGGTTCAAGCCTGACAACATCTGTCACTGAAATTAATCTTTAATCTCTGTGAGCTTCCTAAAGTTACTGCTTTTATAAAATGGAAATGAGGCATTCCAAGCATTCTTACCCCATGGAGTTGGTGAGATTGCATTAGAAAGTTCTTGGTAAAACATCAAGCGTTATGTTAATATAAGGCTAAGTTTTTAGAATTATTCGCCAATGACTCAATCCTAACGGTTGTTACCCAACACTCCTCTTGGCTATTTCAAAGTTGTATTGTCCTCCAACAAATGTGTTTTGAGTGCCTACCATAACCAGGCCTGTTCCAGGTGCTTGCTAGTATGTAGGAATAAACACAATAAAACTTGCTGCCTTCTTGAAATTTACATATTCAATCAGTGGAGACTAACACTATAGACTACTAGTTTTAATGAGGCATATTAATGCATCCAACTCAACAAATATTTCTGAGCACTTACTGGTTTCCATTGACTTCCATTATTGTTTGTTAGGACAATTGTCTTCTAGCCATATTATTTTAGAAATGGCATCCTGGCTTAGGAAACAACATTATTAGAAAATGACATATTTAGGACCAGCAGATTATATTTTCTATGATTACTAATCTTCATAATGTGCCGCCTGTTTTCTTCTTTGGGGCATATATTTAATCTGCATAATGTAGCTTTATCACATGGTTACTGGATATAAAGTAGCAGAAGGGAAAATTTACTTTTAGATGAAACCGTATATGATTTTTCAGAAAAGAATACTGTCTCAATGCTAAGATTAAATTTATTTTTCAATTTCTAATTACTTTGAAATCCAAATACTTCCTATAGTATTTAATGTCAGATTTCTTTTTTCTTCCACAGTTCCTGCTAATATTTTGGTATTATTCTCGGTAATGATTATAAAGGTAGCTAACATTTCTGTATTAACTTTCAAGATCCAGCAGTTTGAAGAAAAACTTACCTCTCCCTTAACTACTTAAAAGAATTTAGATTGGGGGTTTGGCCCATATAGAGAGCTACTGCCAGAAACTTTTTTTCTGGATCACCTATCTATATGGCAGAGCAAATATCTAACTATCAAATATCTGCTCTTCTTACTGTCCTATGAATCGCTCTCCTCCCCTTTGAAGACCCAGGCTGCTAACCCCATTCTTTAGCTCAGGGTGGCATATAAACCTCAGTTGCGCACATTGTTCCTGAGTCTCACATCTTTGAGCTCCTGTACGTACATAATTAAATTTGTTTTTTTCCTGTTCATCTGTCTTATGTCAATTTAATTAGTAAACCAGCCAAAGAATCTGGAAGGGAAGAAAAGTTTTTCTCTCTTACAATAAAGTCTCAATGCTTACTCTCGGTTTCAAAGCTCACTTTTCATCATTTGATCTACGTTATACCTTATTAGAGAGGTGATATGGAATCATTAGCATCCCCCTCATGACTGGGAATTCTCTTTATCTTATTCAAAATATAGTCATTCATTTCCTCCGGAAGGATAACTTTGAAATAACATTAATTTTAGTGGTGTTCAATTATTTAAAACAGATGGTATTTATGTATTTTTTCTACTATTTACTATTATCACTTTTTACAGAAACATATACTTTCCTATTCATCTAAACAATTATTTTAAAATCAATAATCTCTCAATTTTGATTATGAAGACTTTTCATGTCTTTCTACATGGTTCTTAGCATTGTCCACTAAGTTTAAGTAAGTTCCTTCTGAAACAAAAAGGATTTTCAGATTATCACAATTTTCTATTTTTATTTCAATTTTCTCTTATTAAAAGTAGCTTTTCTTTCTTGTATTTTGTATATTCCCAGTGTGCATATATCTTTTGTACATAATAATCTATGTTTGAATACATTCATCACTTTTTAATCACAGTAAATTTCAAACATACATGAAAGTAGAGGGAGAAGTAGACCAAATCCTCACAAACCCATCTTCAGCTTCACCAATTAACAACAAATTTAGTCAGTTTGGTGATATCTCGATCTCCCTTCCACCTCTCAGGTCTGATTATTTTAAAGCCATTCTGGGATAGCACCAGTAAATTTCACCAGTAAATGCTTCAATGTATATTTCTAAAAGAGGATTCATTGTTTTTCATTACTGCAAAAATATCAGGCTTTAAAAGTTAACAATAATTACTTAATTTCATCAAATACCTGTGTAGAAACTTCTTTGATTCTCCTACTAACAATGTTTGCAGTTGGTTTGTAGGAATAATTATCCAAAAAACACTGCAACAGTACATGTCTGAAATGTCTTTATGATCCTCTTAATTCCTCCTGTCTTCGTATTGTTGTCCCTTAATGTCCTAAGAAATCAAGTCCTTTGTTCTGTTAAATTTCACACATTCTGGAATTTGCTGATTGCACTGCTGGGGTATCTTTTCTGGCTCCTAGCTTTTCTATAAACTTCGATGCTTCTCTGGCATAACAGTGGGGTAGGGAGTTGTGCGTATAGCTTCCATTTTGTCATATCAAGAAACAAGTTATGTCTTGTTGCCCTCTTTTTGTGGTTAGAATCTTAGCGTATTCAGGTATCATCAACTTGATTCGTCTATTATAAAGTTCTGCAGCAAGTGTTTTCAGCAGCCATTGATGATTATTGCCTAGATCCTTTATTTCGTTGGAGTTTTAAAATTGATAATATTCTTTCACTGCTTCAGAATTCACCAATTGGAATTCTTCAAAGAACTTTCCTTTGAAGGAGACCAGAATTTGCTACCCCAAAACATGTCTCTCTGGCATAAGGATTATTTTAGGCAAATTATTTTAAAGTAATAGCAGACAGTGGTCACGTGGGCAGTACATATACTAAAATTTTAATGATACAGAGATTAGCAAGGCCTGCGCAAGGATGACACACAAATTCATGAAGTATCCTGTATTTTTGTTGTACACTCAAAACTAATAAAGGACTGTATATCAAAACAGAAAGAAAGAAAGAGAAAGAGAGAGAGAGAGAGAGAGAGAGAGAGAGAGAGAGGAAGGAAGGAAGGAAGGAAGGAAGGAAGGAAGGAAGGAGGGAAGGAGGGAAGGAGGGAAGGGAGGAAAAGGAGAAGCTCTGGAAACTGAGAAGTTACTCTTTTGTAAGAGATATTTACGTGTATAAGGGAAGCCTCCGTTTTGTAAGGGTTACTCCCCCTCTGTACCTGGAAGAGGAGGAGGACCAAATCTCTAGAAACTCTTGTCAACTAAGAAGGCAACGGCCTAAATCTGCATAACAACATACCCTTGGTTGCTGTGCTTTTCCTACATTACTGGCCTCCCCCATCCCCAATATCGTTCTTTGGTCTTTAGTTTGAGATAGTATTTAAGGTGGTGGCTTCGTACGTTTTGGGGAGTTACTCAGTTTTCCTGGGTCTCTTCCATGTGTACAAGAGGTACACATGTTATTAAATGTCTGTTTTTCTCCTATTAATCTGCCTTGTATTACAGGGGTGGGTCTCAGCCAAGAGCCTAGAAGGGTAGGTGGAAAACTGTATTTATCCTGAAGTTTGATTTGAACAGTGTTTATTAATATGTTCACTAAATCCTACCTATGCACACTCTTTCCCTATTTTCTTTTATTTGATTTAATCCACATTTGTATGTATTTTCCACCCTTTGGAAAACAGCATTTAACTAAATACTGAATACAGCATTAATCCAATTAAAGCTCCACACTTTATAGAGACTTAAAACTTTGCCATTATGTTTAAATCTAAGAACTTTTCTAGAGGGCAATCTGGCAACTTTCCTATTTGTCATGTACATAAGCCTTTAGTCATAGTAGTTCAACTTCAAGTAACTTATCCTACCTAAGAAAATTATTGAAAAGTATGCACAAATATAAATGCACAGAAATTCAACACACCATTATTTATAATAGCAAAAAATTATTGCAAACAATATAAATGTCTAACAATAGACTAATACATGATTACCATGGGCAGTTATTGAAAGTGGAATTACAGATCCATGTTGACATTAACAAAATAATCTTTAGATCAATATAGAATATAGGTCTATATCAAGAAGAACAGACATTATGTTTCAAGCAGACTACAAAAAAATCATATGTAGTTTGATGATACATTTGTAAATAGATTAATAATATGAACAGATTTAAATATATATATGTATATATATATATAAATTCTGAAAGTCAATCCTTTCAAATGTTACTTATATTTATTGAATTCTGCATGGTGGCATTTGAGTAATTTTCTCTTTCTACTTTACTTACTTTCATTAATAGAATTTTTTCACAATTAACAATAAAAATGAAATTCTAAGTTTATTTATGATTAAAAAATTATTTTCCATAAGCAATGAAATAATACTTCTTTAATTGGAAAAACCTAATAAATCAATTTTCAATTTGTAAATAAAGAAGATTCCTGTTCATTATCATTTAAGCCTAACATGTACCACTGTTTCTTCTTCCCTTAAATCTCAGTGCAGATTACATACAGATAAGTGGTTTATAACTATGATTTAGATAATTATGATTTCTACCATCCAACTTTAAAATTTTTATATCTAGGTTTAAGGCTTCTTATCACCTGTGAAATGGCTGATTTTATACTGAACCCAATTGCTGGAAGCTTTACAGTGAATGTTTAGTTTCTCAAGCAGAAGTTTAACCACTGCTAAAGTTCTGTGGTACATAGAGACCCTATACCTACCATGCTAGTTAATCTTTAGAACCACTCTCTGCTATAAGTACTGCTAATCTTATTTTACAGATGAGAGAACAGTCTATGTTCACCAAGCTAATAAACTCCAAAACTGGGACTTGGACCCAGGATTTCTTACCTGGAGACTGTTCTTTGCTGGCCTGACCATGGCATTCCCTTATCAGTATCATTCACCTCTTCTCTAGTTTAAAAGTCTTACCTGGCAAGTCTTAACCACACAGAGGATTTTACTTAATTCTCTGCCGCTGCATTTCTGTTGGGATAGATTACCTTATCCATCAATGTCTAAACTCTCATGGCGCTAGCACCATTTCAGCTCCTGTGAAAGAGACATACTACTTCCCCTACCAGTCTCTGCAATGAGATAGTAATAAATTGTGAGCTAGGCACACTGAATTGCTCTTGCTGCCTAAATGTAATGTTTCTCCATCAGTCATGTAAAAGAAGCACACCCTTTATTAAAATAAGAATTTACCAACCTCAGGCATCTGTCTGGAAATACCCTATTCACACACCTCAAGGCAATAAAGTTGACACAGAATCTGAAATGATTACTGCAATTGCAATGAGTTGAAACAGGTTTTTTTTTCAATTACAAATAGTGAAAATATCAGATAACTTTGGCAAGATAGGGCAAGATTAATTTTTTTAGTCAAAATTTTCAAACTTTAGTATATGTGTTTCTATAGCATGCTGGCAAATCCTTAAAAATTAAGGAAGTTTAAAAGATGTTTATCCAGTTATAATGCATCATCTAATAAATGAAAAGGACAGGGCATCACATATATAGGATAGAGCACTCTTCCTGCCTGAGACCGACTAGGGACAAACCTGACTTATATCTAAAGCAGGGGGATTATAAACGAGGGCATGAAAGCAGAGGAATCAAAGTGGTATAGAAATCCAGATGCTGTCAACAGTGACCTTCTGATTTGTATTTTATATGACAAACCTGCAGTAAACTTATACTTGCCTATGATGGAGTAAAAAACTGTAAGACCTTGAATAGGAACATCTGGGTTCAAGCCTGACAACATCTGTCACTGAAATTAATCTTTAATCTCTGTGAGCTTCCTAAAGTTACTGCTTTTATAAAATGGAAATGAGGCATTCCAAGCATTCTTACCCCATGGAGTTGGTGAGATTGCATTAGAAAGTTCTTGGTAAAACATCAAGCGTTATGTTAATATAAGGCTAAGTTTTTAGAATTATTCGCCAATGACTCAATCCTAACGGTTGTTACCCAACACTCCTCTTGGCTATTTCAAAGTTGTATTGTCCTCCAACAAATGTGTTTTGAGTGCCTACCATAACCAGGCCTGTTCCAGGTGCTTGCTAGTATGTAGGAATAAACACAATAAAACTTGCTGCCTTCTTGAAATTTACATATTCAATCAGTGGAGACTAACACTATAGACTACTAGTTTTAATGAGGCATATTAATGCATCCAACTCAACAAATATTTCTGAGCACTTACTGGTTTCCATTGACTTCCATTATTGTTTGTTAGGACAATTGTCTTCTAGCCATATTATTTTAGAAATGGCATCCTGGCTTAGGAAACAACATTATTAGAAAATGACATATTTAGGACCAGCAGATTATATTTTCTATGATTACTAATCTTCATAATGTGCCGCCTGTTTTCTTCTTTGGGGCATATATTTAATCTGCATAATGTAGCTTTATCACATGGTTACTGGATATAAAGTAGCAGAAGGGAAAATTTACTTTTAGATGAAACCGTATATGATTTTTCAGAAAAGAATACTGTCTCAATGCTAAGATTAAATTTATTTTTCAATTTCTAATTACTTTGAAATCCAAATACTTCCTATAGTATTTAATGTCAGATTTCTTTTTTCTTCCACAGTTCCTGCTAATATTTTGGTATTATTCTCGGTAATGATTATAAAGGTAGCTAACATTTCTGTATTAACTATAACAGTAGCTAACATTTATTAAATGTGCCTAGCAATATTCTGGATACTTTATGAGCATGAAGTTACTTAATCTTATTACCCTTTGATTTAGGTACGGTTTAGTACCCTTTGATTTAGGTACTAATATTATCACTACTTTGGAATTAAAGAGAGTGAAGTTTAGAAGGGTTTTGGGAAGACTGTGCTCATGGGCACACTGCTAGACCTTAAAAACTTTCAGTGGGTTTCCATTTGGATTCATGTTTGTAAAGCTTTAGTTAATTGTATGTGTAATAAGCTGAAACAATTGTCTGAGTCTACACTAAAAACCTTTGTGGAAGAGGAAGACATAATGGATGAAAAAAAAAATCATGATTTTTCTTGGAGTCCTAAAAAATAGATTTTATTAAAGTAAACAAGTGAAAATATATTTAACTTTGTCTTCATTGTCTTAAATTTAATTTATAAAATATTTATTTAGGAATCTATTTGTTTATAGTTTGGGGTCTTAGATCACCAGTTGTCAAATATTAGGGGCCCCATTATGCTGTTAAAAATTCGTGGGGATCCAACAGAGCTTTAGCTTGTGTGAGTTACAGCTATAGATATTTATTGTCTTAGAAATTAAAACTAAGAATTTATTAACTGTTTAGTTATTGACTCAATAAAATAGCAATAATATGCCCATTGCATGTTAATGTAAATGATATAATTTTTTACAAAAATAATTACATTTTCCAAGACAAAAATATTTAGTGAGAAAAATGATCTTGTTTTCCATATTCTCAACTATTTCTAATGTTTGGCTTAAGACAACTGGATTTTCATTTCTTCTTTATCATTTAATCTGTTGACTGTCACACACAATGCAACTTCTGGAAAACTCCAGTGTATACTTGTGAGAAAATGAAAATAAAAAAGGCAAATAACATCTTCATATTATTGTGAAGATAGTTTTGGCCCTATGGATCCTCTGAGAGAGGTTCGGATATATTCAAGGGCCCCCAGATCACACTTTGAGAACTGCTGTCTTAGAATGCTACTCTTATTTTCAGTCTGTTTCCCCAAAACACATAACTTTCTCCAATGCTTAAGAATTTTTAAGGGGCTTGGGGGGATTTCTCATCTCTAAGCAATTTTCTATTCAAAATATAATTAACAACCTTAACATATTCCCAGACTTCTTTTATCTCTAAGAGCTTTTGTTTTGTTCAAAACATGGAAATAAATAAGTAATGAGAAATTAAACACATTATTTACAAGTCAATTAAAGCATTTTGAGGTTAG